TCTTGGCATGCGCACCTATCGATGCACCATCGAAAAAAAAAGACAAAAAATTATCAGAATTGGTCGTCTTATCGATAGATTCGAACCTTCGATTTAATGCACAACCAAGCTGTTTTCCACTGCGCCATACCCGCCACCAAACGTAGTTTTAATGTCAAAACAATTTGTACATTACAGATCTTTAAAACTACCATTTTTTTTTAAATTATCCCATTTTGCTTAACAGGCCCAACTGAAAGAAAATCACCGTTGATGTCGAAATTTTCCTTAAAAAAAGAGGTAATTTCGAGGAATGTTTCGATGATGGCAAACAGCGGTCTTTTTGGATTTGTTCCAAAAAATTTTATGAATACCAATCAAAAATAGTCTATTTTTGTGTAATAAGTGTACTCATATTTATCAATTCTTTTTCCACATACTAAATTTTTTTCAATATTTTTCATGCGCTGCTGAACTGTTACTTTTGGCGTAAAACTGCTCCATTCTTTAAAAACGTGGCAAGAAATGCAGTAGTCCATTCGAAATTCACAAATTTACATGTTTGAAAAAATGAGGGTATTGAGGAAAATGAGGGAATATCCCACCAAATTGGAAATATTACCTGTCGAAAATTTGACTTTAACACTTTTACGATGTATCTATAAACAGCATTTGACGCAAAGTATATCGGAAGACTTAGCAAGTCTGGCAAAAGAAGCACTTAGGATTTGAACCACATGCAACTTTCTGGCTAGATTAGAGGTGTTTTAGCCACTGCGCTAGCGGTCCTTCTGTACAAAAAAACGTTTAAATATTCAGATAAGTGTAAAATTATGTGGACAACAATATATTAGTACCAAATCTACAATAAAAAAACAGCACAGCCTTAAAAAATATAAGCATCTGGAACAAAAACCTGAAATTCGGGATGAAATGAAATTATGGCTTCTGGCAGAATATAACAGAATGCAGATGCATCACACAAAAACACAGTAAATCCCCTCATTAACAGTTAATGAACAGTAGTTAAAAGACAAAAACCCGTGTAA